AGTGTCACGCCCGCGATACCCGTCGTGCCGCGACATCTTGGGAAGCTCTCAACAATTGTTCAATATGTACATTAGGTGAATCAATTACCCTTAATATTTTCAATAATCACTACATTGGATACACATAAAAAATTAAACGCAAGACAAAATATAATTTCAAGCTTTAGCAACTCACTTTAACGAATTGGAGAACACATCAAAAAAACAAACAAAAAGTTAAAACACTATATGGCCGAGTCAAAACACTATACAAAATGATTAAAACCTTATAAGTCAAAAGCAATACACTAATCAAAATATAACTTCAAGTTGCTTCATTGAGGTTAATCTCTGGACACCTTCCACGATTATGGCCGACTTTGGAACACCTACTACATTTACGAATTTGGCGAGGTTTAGTAGTCGATTTTCTTCGAGCCTCACCTGCCGATTTTTTCCTTTCGAATGTAGGTTTGCCCCTTGGACGCCGTGATGGTGCCGGCAACACAATTCTTAACATAATTTCAATATAACGACTGTACATTCGTTATGCAATATCAAATGCAACATCATCTAAAAAAATGGAAGATAAAACGTGAATGTCACAAAAAATATGAAAACCAAAATGAAACCAAAATGCATATCAAAGTATAATAACGAAACTACATTGGGATACGTCATAACCAAACTACGTTGGGATATGTCAAAACGAAAATACATTCGTTATGTCATAACGAAACTACATTATGATATGTCATAATTAAAAACAATAAGATATGTCATACCCAAATTACATTCCTTATGAAATAAACATCAAATGACGGATCTACATTGGCTATGAAACAATTAGATAACAAATCTACATTCGTTATGAGATTTTCTTCATATAACGAATGTACATTCATTATGTAGAAAAAAATTAAAAAAAAAAACCTCAATGCCACAAAAACATGATAAATATGAAACCAATATGTTTATCAATCATAAAATATGAACAAAATGCTTTATCTCTAAAATAACAACAAACCCTAACATGTTTTAATGTTTTAAATTGTTGATCTTCCACTTTCTTTTGCAATATGGAATCCAAAGTTTATGTATAATGATCATATTTTGTTCTCACCTTTTCAAGAGAAGAGAGGATGGAGGGAGAGAGAACGGGCAGAGAGTGAGAGAGAATCATGGGACGAGAGCGAGCAGAGCGGAGAGATGCGACGATCAATCTTTTTTTTTATTTATTACAAAGTTGATAACAAAATAGAAGTAGGGCATTGTAGTCATTTACCATATAAAGGTATTATAGGTATTCTATTTATTTATTTAACTTTATTTAAAGAATGAGTTATTTAAACAAATAAAATTTTAAAAGGGTTATTTAAATAAATTATTTGTTTGATTGTCCCATTTAAATTAACCGCTCGGAAAAATAAGACAAGTAATTTTTTCTGGAGGGTATACTAGAATTTAATATGATATCTTATTAAGTTTTATTGTCAAAATTTGGTCTAAGGTGATTTTGTTATCTACATAGGGTCATCCTGACCAATTTCCACTCGAATTAACCCTTCCTCTCGGTTCTTCGATCTTCAATCTGTATTGTTTTCATCTTGAAATCTGATAAAGTAAAAGGTTTTTATCTCCTTAAAAACCAACGGAAGCCTTAATACGAATCTTGAACCTACTATTATTAGGTAAAAAAATAAAGGAAAAGAGGGAGAAAAATGCAGCAAGCAGCTGCACAACAACCGGCAAGTCAGGGACCGGCGGCGACGAGGGATGCGCCGCCGAAGCAGGTGGCGCAGGCGTTGGAGCAGCTCGGGCAGGCGGGGAGGCTGATCGCCGACGTGCGGCTTGGCGCGGATCGACTACTTGAAGCCTTGTTCTTCGTGGGGGATAAACCTCACCACCAGCACTCGGCCAAGTGTTTGAATTTAATTCTCAAAGAAGAGTCCTTAATGCGCCACCACCTCCAGAGCCTCCGCTCCATTGGTGGGTTTACTTATACCCTAATGCCTCTGCCTTTCTGATTTGCAATTCCGTAGTATTGATCAATAGAAATCCGTTTATCTCCACGAGCTCATCGCTCTTACAAGTATTATCCCTAATTCTACTGTTGGTTCTCTTAGATAGAGTTGGAGAAAGAGAGCCATATTCAATTTAGTCAGGGAATTGTATTGTGGATTGGTTTCATTAACGATTTTTCTACTTGCAATTTATCATCTCTGTACTTTCTATGTTGAGTTGATACTTTTATGTTTTATGTGAGTTTATTTTACCTGAAGGATATGGGACATGGTTTTAACATGCCAATCATATTCTTAGGAAGACAGCTAGAGGAGTCTGGCGTTCTAAATGATTCCCTCCGTGCACGAAGTAATTCGTGGGGCCTACACATGCCTCTCGTATGTCCAGATGGAGCTGTGGTTGCGTACGCGTGGAAGCGCCAGCTTGCTGGCCAGGCTGGTGCATCTGCAGTTGATCGGACCAGGTGATATATTATATATTAGTTCTCTAATCTATATTTGAACTCCACCTTTAGAAGATTAGAAGTGTCTTTAATTTATTGAAAAAATATCTTGGTTTTGTCTACCAAACGACATGCAAACTCACTATATGGATGAGTTCGGTAGATAATTGGTTAACAATGCATATAGGCGAAGCTTGCATCCGAAATAGTGAAGATAGTATCTGCAACTGCAGGTCTAATTCACCACTTACCATCAGAATTCAGGGCAGCTTAGTAATTTGGTAATGGGATCTAAAGTTGTGACCTTCAATAAATATTTTCTAACCATTGCTTATCTGGAGCAAATATTTATTTGGGTGTGTGAGTAGTAGTAAATCTGGTGTGTGCTGCATAGTTTAAGACATGCCTGACCCATTGAATTTGCAATTAGCATCTCCGAAAGATTTTGTATTGCTCACCTCAACTGCATTACTAAGTCTTAGTTACTTATGAGTACCAAATAGCACTTTCTCAATCCCATCTGTGCTCTTGGTGTGGTTTTATTAAGTTTGAAGAGTAGCACAATATGACAAAGGTACAGCAAGTTCCCTTGGAAAAAGGTAGCATGTGTTGATGAAAGATGAGAAAACATCACATATTTTGGCTCTTAAGCAGGCTTATGTTAGTCCCTGCCAGCTGTAATGCTTGTAATAGAAGAACCAAGTAGAAGTAAGACTATCAGACTGTCTCCTGAAGGGGGTTCCTATACTAATGCAGAACTCCAGGGCAAGTCCTAGTTGACCTTCATGGGAACTGAAATTATCTTCTTGAAGTAATTGTAACACCGAACATGAAATGAAGAATGCTCTGATCCGTTAAACGAAATATTTTCCCAAGATTTCCCCAGAACTTTGCCCTAAGTGAGGTGCTGCATTATTTACAAGGAGCTGTTTGATGTTCCTCGCTTACTAAACCTAAACCTATACATTGATACTTTATCTTTTGAAGATGCGTTTCATTCTGGTTCTCTCTCACCATATCAATTACATACGTAGATTCTCTCTCTCATTCTCTCTCTCTCCCTTTCTCTCCCTCTCTCTCTCTCTCTCTCTTTTCACGTATCAATTTAAACTCTCATAAAATGGAGTTTTACTGTTCTTTCAACCTCTGCAGACTGGCACTCAAGGCATTTAAGGACCAGAAAAGGCGGTTTTTCCCACACCTTTCCGATGATTCTGTACTAGGACCAGCTGCAAAGAAACACTGCACACCTCTGCCGATATCTCATGAAGAGATGAGTGAGCCAAAAACGCTGAGCGACATTTTATCAAACCTCGAGAAAGAGGTCTTCAATCTGAAAACATTTACATACCAGCGTATGGATTGGCTTAAACGTGCATCATCTTTGGCTTCCGGTGCAGATGAGGGCACCACAGATCCATCAAAAGGTCAGAGTACCTTTTCAAGCACAAGCAAGTGGGGACAGAGTTCAGTGAGCTCGCATGGTGGAGATAAGTCTGCTGTGATCGAGTTGCTTCTGCCTTGTGTCTTTAGGGCGATTATATCGCTACACACTGCGGGGTCTATGGTTCCTGATGCAGTAGCATTCTATTCGCCTGATGAGGTGATTATGAAGTAGCTAATTCAGTTTGCTCTTTCTTATGGCTTTTTTTGTCCTTGATAGCATCTTCTCTAGTTAGAGGCGGAGATTGACGTGTCATTCAGCAGGTTTTCTGGTCTTTGTATTATGAAGGTTCTTTCACTTACGCATGTTGAGAAACTGATCGGAGTTTAGTTCTAAAATAAGTTGTCTCGTACTTTTTAATTTTATTGGTGCACAGAAGAGGCTACAATATTTATTTTTCTTTTTTATAACATACGAGAATGACAATGATACAATGTTTTCTTGGTATAGCCCATGTTTGTTTATTGTGTTAAGTATGTCTGTTGACGAAGAAGTATAAAGCATGTCAGTTGTGTTTTCTCCATGTGAAGTTTCTGAACTGTTTTTGTCCAGTATCAAGTTTCAAACTTGCATCTGAAGTTTCAGTATTGATTTTCTTGTCAAGGGTGGCAGCTATCTACATGCTCGGGGTTTTTCATCTCACCACGTATATAAGCATGTATCGGTAAGGGTGCTTATCATTATTCTCATTCTCTTTCTCTCTCTCTCTCTCTGAACATCCACCTGCTCTTCTGTGTATTCGTTAAATACTAAATTTTTTATTTTCATAAATGGACCACTGCAGGAGCATGCTTCTATGGCTCTGCAGTACTTTGTTTTTGCGAATCCAGAAAGAGCATTGCATTCACTTCTGGTAATACTCGAAATCCCGTGATTGTTAGTTTCGAAGAATAATCTTATTTCTTACGGTTTCATAATGCGTGTTTTGCTGCAGCACTGGGTTTGCACTTACCAAACATTGTTCATGGAAGCATGCAGGTGATTCTTGCTTGTTACTGTTTTTGCTCTTTTCTTTTTCTTTTGGGTTATGTGTTTTTTTCCCTTGTATTGCCTGTTTCTCTCTCAAACTTAATAGCTGGAGATTGAAACCATGCAGCAAGTGCGGCAAGCTTCTGTCAATGGACAAACAGTCAGGTTTAGTGTTACCTCCTGTGAAGCGCCCCTTCCGTAATTTCACTGTTGGTAAAAGTTCGCCAAAAGGCCCCTCTGCCACGAATGGCAGTCTCCATCTAATACCGGCTTTTCACATTAGCTGCCTCTCAGAGGAATAATAGGGGGACTCATGGGTTCTTGATTTGGAATTCAGAGACCTTGTATCCAGTTTATAAGTTTAAAAAGGACAGTCTGATCTCTCTTTAGCCATCTCCTTCTCTTTTTAGAATTATTACTAACAATGTTGTTTTTTTTTTATTATTATTATTTTCTTTTAACGAAACGATAAGAGGTATTATAACAAATCTACATTGAAAACAATTTCGGATACACATCCACTTAGACTTACGAGACTGCTGTTGTAGTGATTTGTACCAGAATCAATCGAAAGAATCAATCCTGAGTCGTTTTGGGTGGATTATTTTGTACGTATATTTAAGCACCAGAAAATGAAATTAAGTCTTAAACACTCCAATATGAAGTGGTTGAGTGTTTGTTTAGCATCTAAAGATTCCAAAAATTGCAAAAAATAAAATAAAATTTTTAGTTTTCGAACAAGATTCAAATATCGATAACAATGCTAGGGAGTCAAGAATAATCATTCATAACTCCACACTCAAATATTAGAAAATTGATCATTCCGTTAAATGTTAGGGTTTATTGCACCAAATCCTCCTGTATTGTATGAAATCTGCGCGTTTTTCCCTGGTATTTCAAAAATTGCGTCAGACCCCCTCGTATTTAATGTTTACGTGCAGACTCGCCCCTTTATGTTAACACCGTTACTTTAATACTAACGGCGTTACTTTTTTTGTTTAATTTATCATTATACCCTTGCTTTATCAATGAATTTACGATTATACCCTGCTGTCAATATGTAAACTTAGAATTAAAATCTCAAAAGTGGAGATTGAACCCTGTACCTTTGGGTTGAAAAAGGCATCTCCCACCAACCGAGCTACTCAACATGTAGTTATAAATGTGATTCTATTTATATATATATTAACGTATATAAAATATATAATAACAATTAATTATAAATAATGTATTAATTAAATATATATATATATATATCTAATTTATTAATAATATATTGATTAAGTATATATATATATATAATTAAATATAAATAATGTAATAGTTAAGAAATATTTTCTAACTTATAAATAATATAATAATTATGTAATTCGATTATAAATTACTAATATTTAATAATTAAATTAATATATTATAAATTATAAATAATATAATAATTGAGTAAATATATTCTAAATTACTAATATATAATAATTAAATAAATTTATTTTAAATTATAAATATTCTAAATTATAAATGATATAATAATTAATAAAATAGATTATAAATTTTAAAATAATATAATAATTTAATAAACAAATTTAAATTATAAATAATATAACAATTAATAAAAAATATTCTAAAAAATAAATAATATAATGATAGATATAAATTATAAGTAATATAATAATTCAATATATATATATATATATATATATTATAATAATTTAATAAATAGATTCTTAATTATAAATAATATATTAGAAACTATTTACTCACTTATTATAAAATATAAATATTGAATTATTATATTACTTATAATTTATAATATCATTAAATTATGTATATTTAAGTAATTATATTCTAACTTATAAATATTTATATTAATTGAATAAATTATATTCTAAAATATAAATGATATAGTAATTAAGTAAATATATTCAAAATTATAAATAATACAATAACTAAATAAAGAGGTTCGAAATTATGAATAAGATTAAAATTTTTATAAAGATTTATATTTATTCATATTTCAAAATAATTAAAATAATCAAAACTTATTTATATTATTTGAAGCTCATAACAAAGAATATTTTATATTTTAATTAATATTTTTTTGAATTATAAATAACATTTTTTATTTTTTTACATTACTAGAATTTAAAATAAATAAGCTGATAAATAATAAGTATTTAATTTATTTATTACAAACTGAAAATAAGAATTTTATGGAAATAAATAAAGTTTATATATTTTTTAAATATGTAAGAAAATATAAAAACTAAATAAGTGAAATAAAAACAAATCATATATTATATATAGAAGTATCATTTTATTTTATAATAAATAAATTTAATTTAATTTAATTTATTATTTTATTATAATTAATTTTATTTTATTTTGTTTATATATATTATGTTACTACATTAAAAAAAAACATATATTTATATTTATATTTATTTTTTTATTTTATTTAAATTAAATTATCATTAATTTTTATATTAAATAGTAATATATTCATTTATTATTTTCCAACTTCACATTTAATATAATTTTTTATTATTTTATTTCAATTAAATTTTATTATAATGATTTAGTTTGTGATTATATTATTTTTTATTTTTGTTTGATTAAGTTTTCCTCTTGTTCCTGTTGCTTTAAATAAATGTGTGTTAATTTTGTACAATATAATGATAGTGGCACAGTGGTTTAAAGTCTTGGCTAGTGATGTTTTGACCCAAGTTCGAAACCTATGAGGAGCAGCCAAGCATCAATTTTTGCCCCAACAAGCAAGGGGCAAAATAGTAAATTTTAATTTTAAAATAAAAAATATATGAAAAAATTGAATAATTGCCGCATTACATGACTGTGTGCTGCACGCGCTGTGAAGTTGGACGGAGAGGGGGGATTCGTGCAAAAGTTAGTTAATACGAGGAGGTCTGACGCAATTTTTGAAATACCAGGGAAAAACGCGCAGATTTCATATAATACAGGGGGATTTGGTGCAATAAACCCGTCTATTTTTATGTGCTATCTGTTTTGTGAAGCTTATAGTGAAATGAAGTTAATTTATATAAATGTAAAAATAGTGCGTTGAGAAGAAAGAGAATCGTGTGATTCTGTTTCTTCGTTTATATTAAATCAAATTTGTGAATTTGGACAAAAGAACTAGGAATATTAATTCGTGACTTGTTTTATATTTTTCCAAGCAATCGTACGTCTAAAAACTTCATATTTGATCGGCAGATCCAGGCTCCCAAAATTGTATAATTTGTTTTTATCTATTTTTGAGATAATTAAGGTATGAAAATCAGATCGGATAATTGTGCAATCATTTTCCATTAAAAATGACATGTTTCAAAAATCAAGTGTTTTGTTTATTAAGAATCGAATTTTGTAACAAAGAGACAAGTATATTATATTGAAACTTTTAATTAGGAAATAAATTAACGTATATCTTGTTTCAAATTTGGCCACTTGCTATAATCGAATTTGATCATCAGAATCGTTGCAAGATTGGCAGATTGAGGTTCCCAATATCATAGGATTTTTTGTTATGTATTTTTGAGATATTGAGGGCATGAAGATATTGTAAATTCGTTTCCCTTTGAAAATGACATGTTTCAAAAATCAAGTGTTTTGTTTATTAAGTGGCGGATTTTTCATCCAAAGATAATGAAATTGTCTTGAAACTTTTAATTAAAAAAAAATATATCTTGTTTCAAATTCGGTCATTTAACCCTCCTTACATAGCTACGATGTGATGTCTTATCACCCGACGGCCCAACTCATAAGCCACCAGCTTCATACTAGCTGCCGATTGTCATGGAACATTTACGAATCAGTAACAAGCTATACTCTGAAGAACTACGGCTTCATACGGGATCATTGTTCCAACAATCTCCCGAGGAAAAAAGATGTCCCCAAGCTCGACCTACGACCTTTCCTTCGACATTAGCATGCAGCTGACAGATTTTCTCTGCCATCCTCTTTACAACCCGATCCTTGTGCACCCTAATGTCTTTGCTACTCGATTCCTCGCCCTCCGTCTCTTTCTTGTTCGTTCCCACCACCGTAGTGGGTGTAGTGGTCCTCTGGGATATTTGTTGAGTGACCTGCTAGGCTGCTTTGGTTGCAACGACGTCTGTTATCATTTTCTCGAGCTCCTCCTTGGGCACCGTGATGAGTTGTCACTCTCCTCGCTCGGCCTCACTTCTGGATGGCCCCATCGATGGAACATGCACTGGATCTGGCTGTACCTAGATTAGAACCACAAGTCCCTTGGTCGATTGAGCCTCCCGCGGGTTGCTCGAGTCTGCTGCTGCGACAAGGACTGCCGATGAGCTCCGTAAGCCCGTAGGATGAGGCGTCAGGGTCACCGGGGTGTGAGATTGTCTGGAGAAGTCTGGTGGTGGGCCTGCTCCAAACAAACATGTGGTTGTCCAAACATCGTCAAGACGGCTCTAAATTTTCTTTTAGGAATCTCGTTCGCCATGGATGATTGAGCTGCGATGGATTTTTGAACAGAGTCCACAGATGACGCCAAATGGTATGAAAAGAACCCTCGACCGAATCAGTTGGACATGATCTGCATTTTTTGCCTATGAATAACCTTCTGAGACCTGCAAAAAAACTCCACACTAGAGAGGTTTTCCAATGAAGAGCCTCAGTGCTTAAGTTAGTGAGATGTAGGAGATGATAAACAATATGTAAGTGTATAAAGAGTGTAATGTTCAAAAGGACATAACTCACTCCCTTTTATAGGGAGATATTACTTTGTTGCCTAAAACTTTTCCATTAAAAATGACATGTATGAAAAATCAAGTGTTTTGTTTATTAAGAATCGAATTTTGTAACAAAGCGACGAGTATATTATCTTGAAACTTTTAATTAGGAAATAAATTAACGTATATCGTGTTTCAAATCTGGCCATTTGCTATTATCGAATTTGATCATCATAATTGTTGCAAGATTGGCAGATTGAGGTTCCCAAAATCATAGGATTTTTGGTTATGTATTTTTGAGATATTGAGGTCATGAAAATAAAATAAGATTATTTTGGATATTGTAAATTCGTTTCCCTTTTAAATGACATGTTTCAAAAATCAAGTGTTTTGTTTATTAAGTATTCGATTTTTCATCCAAAGATAAGGAAAATTGTCTTGAAACTTTTAATTAAAAAAAAAAATTGTATATCTTGTTTCAAATTTGGTCATTTAACCCTCCTTACATAGCTACGATGTGATGTCTTATTTTCCGGCGGCCCAACTCGTAAGCCACCAACTTCACACTAGCTACCTATTACATTGGAACGTTTACGAATCAGTAACAAGCTAAACTCTGAAGAACCACGGCTCCATACAGGATCATTGTTCCAACAATCTCCCGAGAAAAAAAGATGTCCCCGAGCTCGACCTACGACCTTCCCTTCGACATTAGCTTGCTGACAGATTTTCTCCGCCATCCTCTCTACAACTCGATCCTTGTGAACCACGATGTCTTTGCTTCTCGACTCCTCGCCCTCCGTCTCCTGCCTATTTGTTCCCACCACCGTAGTGGGTAAAGTGGTCATCTGGGATGTTTGTTGAATGACCTGTTGGGCTGCTCTAGTTGCAACGACGTCTGTTA